CTCACTTATACATATTTTATGTGTATCCAGCTGTCTGCATGGAGTTTTGCTTTAAAGTCTTCTGGGAAGTGCTTCTAGGACAGCTAACCTGTGCTTCGATCTGCCTTCAATAAGTGTCAGACCTATAAGAATTATGTGAAATCTCTGGCACCCCAGCAATGGAGTGGAACAATGAGTTCTGCCACAAAAGTGCTTGAAAAGAATATTTAAACCTTAAAGCAGACCCTTACACTCAAAATTCAAATCCCCCCAATGCATTCCTCTGTCTATGCTGATTAATAATAAAATAGACATGTCAGGTGTAAAATGCTGTGATTGTGAAATACTTACACTTGCAGAGCATTCACTTCCTGCTTTCCATGTGCAAAATAGTTCATTTTGCCAACGCAATGCATCCTGGGATTGTTTTGTCATTGAAATGAGATCTTGTTCAAGAAAAAAAAGAAAATGGCTGCGAGATCTCGCGAGATTTCACAAAATCATGCGAGATCTCGCAGCCATTTTCTTTTTCTTTTTTTTTGTTGAACAAGGTCTCATTTCAATGGCAAAGCATTCCCAGGATCTCGCAGCCATTTTGTTTTTGTTTTCTTGCCTTTTACTTGATGGGGAAAGTGGTGGGCACGGAAGGAGCGGCTTTTCCCACCGTAAACATGGCCGCATGCTGCTTTGCGGCGACAAATTTTAGAGATAAAACCAGGTTTTTTAAAATGAAGAAACAGCTTTTTTAATGAGTCCCAATATATTTATGGTTTATTAATGGTTATGGGAATGTTTTTTTTTTACACATTCAATACTGCAGTGTAAAGGTCCGCTTTAACACACTCTAACAAAAACCCACTTTGACTTCCCCTCAAAGGACATGACAACAATGTCTTTATGCCTGCCATTAGACATGTGCACGGCAAAAAATGCGTTTTCTGACGAAACGAATGAAAACGCAGAACATTTTCATTTGTTTCCTCAAAGAAAACACATTTTTATGCTGTTTCGGATTCGGAGGCAACGTGCCTCCAAATCCAAAACCGCACACTGAAACTGCAGAGCGAGCGGTGGCCATATTGGCTGCCGCTCGTTCTGCATACTCGTTCTGTATACCAAGATACACCCAAAGATGGCGGCACGCCTGCACAGAAAATGAGCCTGCGGGCCGATATGGCCACTGCTCGTTCAGCGTGTGACATCACTGTTACCTGACGTCAAGCGCTACGCCTCCAAGATGGCGGCGAGCATGCACAGATCATGCCAGCAGCCAATATGGCTGCCATGCGTTCTGCAAACTAATTTATGTATTCCCGAATATAGTTTTTGTAAAATATATATATATATATATATATATTAATTTGTGGCATATATTAAATTCGTTATTTCGGATTCAGACGAACCGCCAAATCAACTGAATTTCGTTGATTTGCAGGTTCGTCCGAATCCGAATGCACATGTCTACTTGCCATATATTTGGTAATATTGCACCCAACATAAGGAAGATAATATAGGAAGATCAGCGACAATAATCACGTAGAATATGCATGATAACTGTCTCACAAGTAATATCAGAAGTAAGAAACAATCAGAAGGTTCATTTCAACTACCACTCTAACTTTAGGCAAAATGGTGCAGACAAAACACAAATGGATGCTACGTACTACAACAGGGATCTATTATATAATCACCATTTTAGTAAAACGCTACAGTTTTTCAGGTGTAAGTCAATTGCATAAAGGGACTACTACCAATAAACTACTACTTGCAATAAACTTTTCACTTCTAAGAGGTGGGCAGAGCCTTGCAGATGTTTCTTCCCCCATCTTGTTCTGTCCCTAATTCGATATTTTTCTAGAATTTAAAATGAACAAGTTCTACACACAGAACTACTGTGATAGAGTGAAATGGTCATTATACACAATTCTAATATATTTGCCATCCAGAGACACTCTTAGGATTTGAGGATGAAAATGGACCTTGATTGACCATTTGCGCTATAATCTGGGTATACAATATCCCAAGTACCAATATCAAAAAATGTGTGCCAGCAAGGGTCCCAGAATGTATTCTAAGTGGATCAAGGAAGTGGATCTAAGTGGATATGTATAATGACATCCTGCACAGTGACAAGAACCAGCAAGGTATTTTGGGCATCTTATATGGATAGGGCTTTATACCCTGAATGGTGGGATTCCTTCTCCCAGAAGGTCTTAGAATCTCACATGAAAATCTTGAGGCCTAGATCAGGTAAACGTTAGACTTGGACTCTAAGCCTGATATTGTGAACTGCAAATGATAATGCAAATAAAAAACAAGAACTATAATAATATTTGTATTAGTTCACCTAACACCAGTTCTCATCCTCACTTAACAACTCCTAACATCTAAGAAATGAAAGCCGTGCTCCTGAATCAGCTAAAGTTGTACCAATTTTAGCAACACACCCTCACCATATCTACATCCTTCCTAGTGTGAAAATCACAAACTTAAAATGGTTACATTCTAGAAGGTACCATATACCTTTTTCTCCCAGCTTTTTATGCTCTTCTACACCGTACCCCATCCAGCCATGGCAAAGACATTAGTGCTTCTCTGTGACCAAGCACACAAGACACATGTCCAAATCTATTACGTCAGTGGAGTTGGGGACTGCAGTTGTGTGGTTTTGCAAGCACGTCAGCCTCATTATATAACAAGTGAATACAGCCTGAACAACTCTACAAATGTTTTCCCCTGTTGGAGGGCGATGCATCTGAAACATGAAGTGTGCAGTCAATGAGTTGCAAGTCCACTATCCCCCATAACATTTTAAACACATCCATGTTGAGTTAGACATTGTTCTGCTGGGTTTTCACCCAACCCACATATTCACCACCATGACAGGCCAAGTCCATCTTGTCAGGCTGAGTACTATTTATGTTCCTATGGAAAATGGGCCAGAAGTGTAAGTGAATCACCCAACTGTGGTTTCTCGACGAGGACTCTCTGTTGACAAGTTGATTGCTCACACTAGTGAATTCTCAGTGTAACAGTATGTTAGCTGCAAAAGCTAAGTGGGTCTGTTATAGTTGTGTCAGGAGTTGGGGGCAGTCCCCATGGGAGGCATGGGACAACAGTAAAAGCCCAGCTAAGTTCAACCCTGAAAGTTCAACCCTACCAAATAAATCAATTTGGGCAAAGATGTTATTTAACGATAGGATCAAAATCTGTTACTTGCTGTCCTTTTATGTGTTGTTTTTTTGTTTTTTTTTCAATGGGAGACCAACAGGCTTGTGATATTTGCCCAGCTTATTCTTACATAAACAGGCTTATTTGGCAAAACAGTGTAGATTGAAAATAATATGGATACTGCTGTAAACCAATCAGATTTCAGGATCCTGCAGTTTGATTAGTGAAAGTGAATCGGTTGCTGGGCTGTAGGTTTGCTTTAGGGGTAGAAGGAGGGGGTGGGGGGTTCTGGTGTAAGAACTACTGCAGTAAAAGTAGTAAGCCCATGATAACTGTCATACTTGTATTCCAGGTAACTCATACCTATTGTGCTTATGACTAAACATTTTCAAGGCATATTTTTATACATATACTATATAGTCAGATGTTTGTGAAAACCTGACTATCACACCTATATGAATTTGTTACACATTGCATTCCAAAATCACAGATTTATGGGGTCCCCCTCCTTACAGCTTATAGCAACCTCCACTGTTCTGAGAAGGCTTTTCACAAGATTTTGGAGTGTGCCTTTGGGAGTTGTGCCCATTCAGCCAAAAGAGCATTTTTGAGGTCAGGTACTAACATTGGATGAGAAGACCTGGCCTGCCATTGGCATTTAAAAGTCATCTAAAAATGTTTCAAAATGGTTGAGGTCAGGGCTCTGTACAGGCCAATTGAGTTTTCCCACAGCAAACCCATCACACCAAATCTTCATGGAGATGGCTTTGTCATGCTGGAACAGAAAAGAGTCTTCCTCAAACTTATGCCACAGTGTTAAATGTGCACATTGCCTAAAATGTCTTTGTATACAGTAACATTAACAGTACCCTTTACAGGAAACACCAGAACTTAATGATTTAGGTGTCCACATAGTTTTGATCATTTAGGTAGGTGTGATGGTCAGGTGTCCACAAACCTTTGGCCGTCTGGTATATATTAATTAGTCAATGCCTTGGATAACACTTTGTAGTGAAAAGGGACCCTATTAATAAGTATGACTCATGTAAGAAACATCTATGTTGCTTCTACATGAACAAACCAAGCGGAATGTATCACAAGATAAACCACCTGTGGAGAATGAATACGTCTATCATAGTCATCTGACATAGGTGTTCTGTTTTGTGACCTTTTAAAGCTAAATGAAATCAATACCCTTCAAATACCGCCTGGTTTTTTTTAATGCTGGAAATCACCATTCCAGTATTAAAACTGCCTGTGAAGTCTGCGGTTGCAGATGCAGTCAAACCAAACGTCAATCCCTAACAGTATTATATACCTACAAATGAATGGGAACACTACCAAAAAGGGTCCAGCTGTTACTTGCAAGCGCAGTAGGGGAGTATGAACCCCTGCATCTTGCTAGAAGGCTCCCTTGAAGGTCAACCTACACTTAAGTTAGACCAAAGTTGTGTTAGTGGCCACCTTTCCAGCATGCTCTGTAGGTTTCTGCTGATCACCAGTGTTAAACTGATCAACAGTGTTAAACTGTTGATCAAACACATACTCCTACAATACCTTACTCATCTTTTTGCTGCCATAAAAATAAAATTACTTTAGGAATGTGCAAATATAAAAGAAGTAACGGTCTGCGTGCGCCTAAAACAGAATGTTTCGGACGTGGTCGACTAAAAGCATTCACACAAGAACGTGACCTGTCCGTGAAATAATTTAATGTCATTCTTCATGCGATAAAAACAGACGTTATAACATGCAATAAAAAAAAAATAAAAAAAATATAAGGTGCCTTGTGATGCTGGCAGTATTATGTTATTTTAAGCATACAGTCTTTACATGATGTTACATCATGACTTATATATAGATTTTCTTTTTTTCAAATGTACTTTTAGTAAGCTTCAAATGTATCAAAATATACAATACTTTTGCATATTAGATATCATTTTTTTGCCCCTGAGTCAAGTAAAGAGGATTTAAAATACAAAGAGGAAAACAGCCGTTAAAAGCACTTACAATATAGTTGAAGGTACTTATAAAAATTAACTTTTTTTCAATTTTTGGATAATTTTCCCGGCAGACCTGGGTCAGATTCATGCCTGTGGAGGGACACAGCCCCTTTGTTGTGTATGGAAGAATCTGGCAGGGAAGTGTGCCTCACTGGGTTGAGATATGATGGACAATGCCTAGCCCGTAGCTCAATCGGAGAGTCGCAGTCATGATCAAGTAGCGACGTCAAGTTGTCTTCGGACGCCGTGTTGAGATGGACTCCACTGGAGAGGGACTCTTTGGATTTTGGTCTGGACTTTTCAAAGTCTACCAATTCTGGACTCTGTAGGATGGAATACAGAACTGTAAATACAATGAAGGGAATTAATCAAAACTAGAGCAGACAAATTCTGGAGCAGTTGTGCATGCCAACTAATCAGACTCTTTAATTTTCAAATCTTAATGAAACAAACTGAAGAGAGAAGCTGATTGGTTGCCATGCACAGCTGCTCCAGATTTTGTCTGCTTCAATTTTGATGAATCCCCACCAATGCATCCAAACAAAAGCCAACTGTTACTTTGACAAAAATTGATATACAAAAAGTATATTTGATTTTTGAAGGGTAAAGATTCCCATACATAAACATAGTGCACAACATATCTAGGCAGCAAGACGGGGATACAACAGAAGGGGAGATAAAGTAAGGTAAGGTAAGGCAGGATAGGATAGGAAAGGAAAGGACCAAAAAGGGGGATTTCTAAACCCTTTTTATTTTGTTACGATTTGTTTTTTCATGTGACCACTGTCAGTCACAGCAATGCCATATGTCTCTGTGGCCCTTGTGTTGGTAGTAGAGCCACATACAGGTCAGGTACTGCAAGTCATCTGATCCCTGATGATAAAATGAATGAACAAATAGTACACAAGTTGTTTAAAAATACCATATATTTGCAGTGACTGCAGGCGGCTAATCTCTGGGTATCTCCATATGACAGGCAATGCTGTTAGGCAAACATTGACAACCAAGTGACATAGCGGCAGGGGGATGGGGTGGCAAGCAGCTTTTGGAATTGCACAAATAGGAATCGGACACTGCAGGAAGTGTTGTACTGCTATGAAAAATTTTCAAAGCTTTTAACTAACATATTTTTTTAAAAAGGGGGGAAAAACTCATAGTAGGGTCTCTCTAAATGACCATGGAACTAAGAAAAGGAAAGAGGGTGGAGGAGAAAAAGAAATCAAAAATACAAGATAGTATGCAGAACAGTAAGTAACAGTAAGGAGAGTGGAGAATGAGTGGAGGGGAGGAACTTTACTGTGATACATGCTAACAGATTACATTGTGTCTTCTCACATAACACAGTAATGTTATAATGAGCTGCATCTGTTAGGGGAGTGACGAGAAGCCAGAAACTGAAACTCTGTCAAACCTCATAATAATTTACAGCCAAACTTGCACCTTCAATACTAGAAGCAGGCACAGAACCTTAATAAATAATGAAGTATTGTGAATTAACAAAACTAAAAATGTTTTTTTAAATAAGCTTATTGCTTAAAGTTAAACCCAACCCTGCATTGTTTTGAATAGCTGAAGAAGAATGAGCAGAACCTGTTTCTCCATGGAGGATATTTCCCTGCACTTCCTGTCCTAGTAGTACCAGTACCTCAGAGGTAGCGAACAGAATGAAAACTGTTGGGGTTATTTACTAAAGAGCCGAAATAACCAGCCGATCTGAACACATATGCTTTGGCTTGGCACAGTCAAGAACACAGCCGTAAGGGGAAAATGGCCCAGCGAAGCGGACCGAATCCCCTGCAAGTTTGTAAAAAATAGATTTAAAAAAAAAAAAAGAGCATGGGGTCCCCCCCCAAATCATACCAGATCCTTTAGGTCTGGTAGCAATGTTAGGGGGGGCCCCGATGTAAAAAATTTGAAGAGTTCCCCTCAGTTCCCCTTGTAAAATATAGATTAAAAAAAGAAAAAAGACAGCATGCGGTACACTCCAAATCATACCAGGCATTTTAGGTCTGGTAGGAATTTTAAGGGGGATTCCAACACACAAACACAGAATGACTGGCTGTTCAGCCCCTATGAAAATAGGGGTGAACAGCAGGGAATTAACTGCTGAACATTCGACTCAGCCAATCCAGATGTTGGATCGGCTGAGGTGAACAAGCTCACGTGCTAAAGCTGTTCGGCCAAACCAAAGGGACGTGAAGTGAGCTGAATGCAGCGGATGTATGGCTAAAGATAACCGTACAGGGCTGCAGTGAATAGCTGAAGAGGCTTCGGCTCCCTTCACTTCGGTTATTAATTCAGCTGTCTTCGACAGCTTAGCGAATAACCCCCTGCCTGCGCACTGACCTGAAATTACAGGAAAACAAATGAGTGATTTTAGAGGATTTGCGGCACACATTTATTTACATGCTATTTGAGGACAGGAAGCTTTCATAGCATGAAAACAAATAGGCCAAGCGAACCCCTGCCCACAGACCCCTACAACTACCGGACCAGTGTTGTGGGGAAAAGGCCCGTGTTCTCATAGGCATGGGGACAAGGTGCTTCTCCAGGCCCCCCCCAGCAAATCACCCTCCCAATGCTGAGGGCATGTGGCCTGGTATGGTGCAGGGAGGTATGGTATGGCCTAATCCGAGCACTCGCCCCCCCTTTCCTGCCCTGCCAGGCGAGTGCTCGGATTAGGGTCTGGTTTGGAATTTTAGGGGGGACCCCACTTTTTAGTTCCTTTTTTTGAACATAGGGGTCCCCTTTAACATTGCTACCAGACCTAGAGGGTCTGGTATGACTTTTGAGGGGAACCCCATGCATTTGTTTACATCAGGGTCCCCCTAACATTCCTACCAGGCCTAAAGGATCTGGTATGATTTGGGAGGGGACCCCATGCTGTTTTTTTTTCAAATACATTTTTTACAAACGTGCAGGGGATTCGGTCTGCTTCGACGGATCATTCTCCCCGCTCCGGTTGTGTGTTCAGCTGTGTGGAGCTGAAGCAAATGCGTTCGGCTTGGCTGTTTACTTTGGGTGCTGTACAGGCTATTGTGAATAGCGCCAAAACGAAGGGTTCCTGCAGCCGAAGGGAGCTGAAGGATTAGCTGAAAGTTTGGCTAAATCCTTTGACTCTTTAGTGAATAACCCCTTTTATTTCTGTTATTTTCAGATTGCCATCCAATATGTCTTGAGCACGTTTGAATAACACCACCTCTTATTTTCATCAGCATGAGATGTTTTACAGCTTTCAAAGCTTTACCACCGGTGGATAGGGGAGACCTCAATGGGGGGAGGGGGAGGTGATAATGTGAAAACCTGAGTTCTGCAGGAAATGGAACATTAATATTTAACCATAACTAAGTTCAAGTGCAATATTTAAATGTATTGGTAAAAAAAAGATGGAGAGAAATGTTTATCAATGAAAGTTACTCAACTGTCAACATTAACATTAACACTGCTATATGCAAGCAACCAAAGTAAAGCAAAGTCACAAAAATAAAAAAGTTCTTGCTGGAAATCTTCTGTTGCCATGCTGCTAACTTGCCTGTGATGAAGGAGTGAAGCTGCGATTTGTTTTGATGGGCACCCCGGAATGTACAATCTGCTGTCTAACAGCTGGCCTCTGGTAGTCTGAACTGGCTGTTACCATGCTATATGCTGGGGGCACCACTGAGGCCTGTCTCTGCAGGAGCTGGAGGATGCTCTGGATGTCGGCAGTCATCTGTGACTCTAACCTGTAATTATAAAAAAAATTGGAGTCAATGGAAGTTTTCAAAGGATACCACAGCTTGTACAGGTCGGAACCAAATTATTATGATCATATTTCTTTATGTGATATGGTAGCGAAGGCATCCATACAGAAGAAAGGTTCAAAACCCATGCCTCTTGCTACCTGCACTGGCAATCTTCATTGTCTTTGCAAGCTTCGCTGGTTAGAGAGTCTTCAGCATTCAACACACTTCAGGGAATGCAGACTGCCTGGTCCCGTGTTGGGTGATGTAGGCCCTTCCACTAGCTGCTATGTCAAATAATGTCCTTTATGATGCTGGGTTCTGAGGAATGAAGCACAGCACAGAGATGGGACTGAGAAGTCTAGATTTCTTGACCCACGAAGCTTGTGAAGACAGCAGAGATTGGCAGTTCAGGTAGCAGGAGGCTTAAGCCTTTACTCCTTTCTTTGCAGGGATTCATTTGCTTCTGATATATAAAAAACTGTCAGAGCCGGTGCAGGTTTTGGGGCCATCATTCTCAGAGTGGCTATGTGGCCTTTGCCAGAAGGCCTTGTGTGTTCGAGGGCACCTGGCAGCTGGTGGGAGCTCCAGGAGCTGTTCAGCTTTATCTTGTATTGATAAAAAAACGTAGTAAACATAAATATAAATGTGCAGGAGCACAAGGAAAAATCATAGGGGGCCCCAAAGCATAATTTGATGGGGCCCCTCCCGTCAGTGGCAGGTGTATTATAATAGATCCCTATTTACACACCCTTAGCAATGGTAGTCAAAAGGAGTGACATATAATGTCTCCATTTTGATATCCTCTTAACACTGGTGGTCAGAGATGGGTAGATTACAATATAACAATGGTGGTCACTGGGTTACTCCATTGTCCGCAGGTGCTAATCAGAGACCCTATGTCCTCCTTATTAGCCACTGCTGGGCTTAGCCTGTGCTATGTACCGAGTCAGCAATCAGAGCCATCTGGGAAACCATAGCATGTAAGTCAATTTTTTGCAACCCCCTTTTCAGACATGGAATGGGCCCCTCCCTGGTCCTGGGCTCCACAGCAGTCACCTGGACTATTATGGCTGTAGTTACACCCTTGTGAATGTGGTCCATTATGCTTCAAAGCTTTCTGTCCCACAATATATCTTAAAGTGACACTAAACTCAGACATTAAATCTTAAAAATGCATTTGAATACCCTATTAACAATAATGTATCTTATTTGTGTATCACTCTGCTGTAGATCTTCAAATAATCTCTGAATTGGTGCTGACACTGTCCTTCCTTCTGGAGGGTGACTACTTTTGTTTCCCATGGTCCCTGTGTGTGTTGTAAAGTAGTCACCGCTCCAAGTTCACTCTGGTGATGGACTATAATCTCAATAGAAATGATTAAACTAAACATGAGATTGTAGTCCATCACAGGAGTGGACTCGGACCAGTGACTACTTTACAATATACACAAGGACCAGGGGGAACAAAAGTAGCCACCCTCCAGAAGGAAGGACAGTGTCAGCACCAGTTCAGAGATGATTTAAGGATCTACAGCCGAGTGATACACAAGTAAGCTTCATTTTTGTTATAAGTTAAAGTACTTGAATCCATTTTTTAAGATTTCACTCCTGAGTTTAGTGTCACTTTTACAGTAGCACCATCATTCATATTTACTTTAAAAATTCCATCTATTGTATAACCAGTGCTAATTGGTAAATGCAAATATACATTTTACATGATACTGTATAACACCACAAAAATGTAATTTGTTGTTTATGATGTGGACACTGTGCAGTTCCTAAACACTGCCAGCAGAGGGCAAACTTGCACTACATTTTGACTGCATCGTCTTGCTATTACCTAACAGCCATTTAAAATATGAAGTAGTACTCTCTTATTCAAACAAGCAAGTTTTAAATGACTCTGAACCAAATTAAGTTTCCAAGCTCTTAAGCTAATCTATGAATTTAAAATTGATAAAATAAATCAGCACAGACAGTGAGAGAGGACTTGTTTGTTTTGCAAGCCTCATCTCCAAAATTGAATAAAATAACAGGTTACATAAAAATGAGAGTGAATATCAAGATTAAAGCTTCTTTCAGCACTGAATCCAAGCTATCAATAACTAAAGATAAAAAAGTGGTGCAATGTACCTTCATTTCTGTTCCGCAATAGCCTGAAAACCTCAATATGTAGGCCTCAGAGTCAAGTTTCGAATAGACAAGGTGAGCGCACAGCATTGAGGAGTATGGAAGAGAACCAGTGGCCTGCCCACTTATGACCTTCTTTGGAAAATGCTAGTTGCCTGTCTTTGGCTTTAATAGTTTCCACGGTGGTTCTGTCTAGAATCAATCATGCAGCCAGCAACGTTCAAATTGATTCCAATGCATGTTCCTGGTGCAGAAGCTATAAGATCAACAACTATAAACTCATATATATCAATTCAAACAGAGTGTATAGGAGTGAAGCTGGCCATACACTGTGTGAATTTTGGCCAATTTTGCCAACATTTGCACTGTGGGTGCCCTTATGGGCAGCCCTCCGCCTGGAAGTCCTTCGTCAAAAAAAGAAAGGTCCCGGATTGAAAATTTTTGGGTGAACAGTGATGGCAGGCAATCAGCTGCCGTCACTGTTTGGGTATCCTAACTGCTGCGCACCCGCCGCTGTCACAATACAAAGGCACCGTGGGAGATTTGTAAGGAGCAATATGTTATAACAAAATATTACAGTGTATGGCCATCTTCAGAAACTCTGTTTTTTATTGTTGTCTGTGTACCCGCTGGGGAGATTCACCCTTTCTATTTGTCCTGGTGTCACTGACAGACAGGAAGTGAGGGGAAATCCTGCAATGTGGACACATGTCCTGGTAAAAACTGTCTCAGAGGGAATATCCTCTCCCTAGTTATCGTGTCAATGGGACAGAGGAAGAAGGGAAAATTACCCAAACGGACATAGACAGCATAAAAAAAGACAGCAGGGATTTAAAGATGAAATCCAGGATAACCAAATATTGTCTAATACAAGAGCCATCTGTATTCTTCCTTAAAGGAGAACTATGAGGTGAGTGCTTTTCACTCACCTCATAGTTCTAGCCGACCTGTGACAATGAAACTGTCACAGGTCGGCTCAGTAGATCAAGTTCTCCTTTAAATCTTGGTTTACTTTGTGCATTTCTTTCAGATCTGTGCAGTAATCGAGTATTAAACCTTACTTGTGTGAGCTTCTTGTAATAAAGACCAATCACTGCTGCTCTTTCTCCATGTGCAAGGTGCCCGGTCTTGTCTCCACCCCCTCCTGTAGTTTTCTGCAGGCAGCCTGTAGTGAGCTCCGATCTCTGCACAGGCTTTGGACAACAAGGGAATACCTGGGTTTTTAAAGACATTTGGTCCACACAAGCTGGATTTATATCCTTTGTGGATATTGAAGAATATATTTAAATACATTAAAAAGAGAACTATGGCCAAACCTTTGTTCTCTTTAGGGTCACAGGAGGACATTTACTAATGCCCTCCTGTGACCCAAAACTCAGTGTATAGTGGACTATTGCGCAGAACCGCACTGCTGGGAAGGATCCCGACAACATTGTTGGGGTCCACCCCGCTGCCTGATTGACAGCTGACTCAGCCTCTCTGGAGCCAGAACCAGCTGTGCCCACCCCTCCCCCATCTGTCCCTCCAGTCAGCACTGGAGGAATGGAGAGGGGGGGGGATCCCTGTGGGGAGTGGTGACTAACAGTGATTGCTCAGTTCTCGATCTATAGAGCCGACGTGTGACAGCTTCAGTGTCACATGTTGGCTCTAACTATGGGAGTGAGTGTATTTCACTCTCTCCATAGTTCTCCTTTAAGTTTTTGTGCCAGGATTTCAGCTTTAACCATTTCCTACTGTATCCAAAAACAAAAGCTGGTTCTAGATATATTTGATACCATTCACAGGCATATTGGAGGGTCTACAAAAAAGGGTCAATTGGCAGAAGCTTGGCAATTTACTGCCCCAGCTTATAAAAGCTCAAATTTGGCAGCTAGGCTTTTGGTCATATGACCAGCATGGGTGGAAGCTTCTTTTACTTTTTGATTTAACAATCCCAGTAAGACTGTTAACATTTCGGTATAGGTCTACTTTTAGAACTGATATTTTTCACAGTTAAAAAAAACCCTGATTTACAAGAGTATAACGATAAGTGAAAGGACGAAACATTTCAATGTGATAATGAATGGTTACAACATTCTATTTTCTTACAACACAGTTACAGCAATTTATTCCGAACTCAGATTCTTGAACCATCATCATTTGAGGCATTGGGGTTGATTTACTAACCGTATAAACACGCCATGAACAAGTATACACCTCTGTAGTGTGTTCCCTCCCTGCATGATCTATGGGTGGAATCTAAACACCTTTGTAGTGTGTACACACCCAGCAGGTGTGTTGTGCAAAGCCCTGCATGAATTGCAAGGTGATGTTGTTTAAATTAGCTCTACATTGTGTTGCTTGCGTTGATGAATGCAGGAATGTAAATGCATGAGCTAACCATTTTTGTCTAAACTGTGAAGCAGCATTATATATGCATCATGTGCATGATTCTTCCATATATGGCATTAGTGGAAATATGCTTTTAGAGACTTTTTGGTTGATAAATACGTTTTGCTGTGTGAAAATCACACGCACCTGGTGCGTGCGTGTGTTTAGGTTAGTAAATCACCCCCATTGAATCTAAGTTGACCTAGACCTATTTCACCACCCCGACAACATGACTTAATCTTCCCTGTACATGTCATTTCCATCTCTGCACAGCACACTGAACTATAACCCTCCTACAGAAGAATTTTTGGCACCCACTACTCATGAAGAAGTAATTCATGTGATATGGGGGTATGCACTTGGGATACTCACCGTACATGTGGAAATTACAAATCCAATTGAGGGAATTTGGAACAGCATAGTCAATCATTATTACTTCTAAAAAACACATACAAGCTTCTATTAAGAATTTTGGGATAGATGGAGAATGGAGATGACAATTATACAGTCTGTAGATGTGGCACTTCCCACAGAAACGTGATTTTTTACTCTGGCTCCGGTCTGCTATCTACTGGAGAAAAGATGACTCTGTGGCTTGGATAACAGAATTAATGAATGAGAGAACCTTAAAAAATGCCAAATACCAATTCATGCTTCAGCTAACCAGGCATCCCTCCCCCATGTTCAAAATCTTAATGAACTCTTCCAAAATAAAATTTCTAGTGGGGCTTTAGGAGCTCTGGCAAACTTAGGTATTGAGAGAAAAGCTGAACTCTATGCAGATATTATTATTACAGGTATTTAAAATGCACCAATAAATTATGCAGCACTTTACATACTGTACATTTAAATCAGTCCCTGCGCTCAAGGAGCTTACAATCTAAGGTCCATATCTCACATGCACATATACACTAGGGCCAATTTAGATAGCAGCCAATTAACCTGCCAGGTTAATTCCACACTTTGGAGTGTGGGAAGAAACTAGAGTACCTAGAAGAAACCCACACAAGCACATGCAAACTCCATGCAGATAGTATCCTAACCAGGATTCAAACCATGGGCCCCACTGCTGCAAGGCAGAAGTGCTAACCACTAAGCCATTGAGTTGCCCATCTGCTTAATCCACTTTTATTTGGCCAAAATACACAATCTGTATCTTACACATAACATAAATGCCTGAATTTCTCTTGATACTGTTCTTCTGTAATTCCGGTAATCAGACTGGGAAAGAGAGGGTCAGCACTCTAACACAGCATAACCCAACCGCACTAATGCTTTACACTGTGCAGAGCAGATAGATGACTTCATTGGGGTTCCATTGCTCCAATATTGTCCAATCACAAGGTGGGTTGGGCCATTTACCAGGCTGTATTCCTTAACTGCACTCTAGTCTGCAGGGTGGTCACTGACTCAGCAATGCTATCTGACAGGCATGGTGGGATCATAAAACTAGATACACAGAACTAAAAGTCCTTTGGAAGGTACAATTGTCATAAATGTATTTTAACTGAATATTTAGCTGTTTGCTCGAGTTCAGCTTTAATTTACCATTGGTTCACCTGAAGTCAGTTCTCTGTGGTTTGACATTCTAAACACATTAGGCAGAACAAGTGTTAACTGAGTGTTGTTACACCAAAGGAATTCATTCTGCTAACATGGCATGTTGTATGCCTGGAGCAAGGAATTTAGCATGTAAGCTCCACTAGGCCATGGACTATATATCAACAGTGATTTTTTTTTTCTATTAAGAAAGACATTAATGATGCTATGTCTATGTAGGTTTTCATTTATCCAGGTCACTGTATAGCTTGTAGCAGTCATGTTCAACTGGACTAAGGTTAAAGACATTTCATAGCCTATTCAACCTACTTCTTCACTTCTAATGACAATTCACATCTTCAGCCATGAAGATTCATTGATGTATTGGGGACCAAACCAACTTGTTTAAGCACCACATCTCCCAGAAAGCCAATAAAGTTAACTCAGTCATAGATTTTAAATATGGGACTTTTCAGGTGCTACAATGATACAATCTAGGGATGTTCAGATACCAAGTACCGTACTCAGTACAGGTACCAGTCTACAGATACTTTTCCCTAGACTAGACTAGGGAAAAATTAAAGTTAGGAGGCAGCTGTCATTTTTAAGGCCACACGGGGCCCTTGGGGTTTGTGCATCCCTATTTTAATGTATCATTTTTTTTATAAATATATAAAAAGGATGCACCTATACCATTTTTTCAAGTACAAGTACTGATACTTGCCCAAGTACTCACAGATACAAGTACTGATACATTTTTGTTTATTGTCATCTGACAGTTTTTCTAAAACAATACAGACTAATGATTTCAGGACAATGGTGGAGCACCAGAGCCAGGTCCTAGCTGCAACCACTGCAACCCTGGTAGTTCTCGTACAAATGCCAAGTATCGGCACTGGTATCTGAAATGATATCTGATCATCTCTAATACAATCATATTTCATGCTTCTTCTTAATCAAATACCAATTTTAATTGCTATACATAATAAATAAACAATTTGTACAATTAAAAAAAAATGATGCTTCAATGTAGTGTCTAGAAATTCATCTCAATATATCCCACAATGAGATTAATTTAAATACTGCGGTGCCCTTCCAATATTTATAGTCTATCTTCAACTGCATATACAGTACATATTAATCAACATTCATTAAGTATACACTTACAGTATACAAATGTGAAACTGGTTGGAAGGGATCAACCGCATGAGGATTCACAATGCGTTTTACAGTATTAAGCAACTGTTTCTTCAGGATCGGCGGTGAATGTATATCAAGACTTTTGATATACATGTAGGTTGATGTACATTTGAGTGTAGTATGTAGGTCATGAGTCAGTGGTATCTCAGCTCCTTCCACATGCCATCCCTTCCCTCCACACACCATGCAGGAAGCAACAAGGGACCATACTCGGGGGACCACCTTAGACTGCCCACTGAGAGAAGTATTCCACTTACGAATTCACATACATGTCATGGGCAGATAATGCCCACATTTTGATAACCCTCAAGTGGCCGGTAGAAACTTGTCCTAGGTTTTATGTTCAAAAATCCACCAGGCATGCAAAGTACAACAAAGGAAGGAAGAATCTCTCTTAGGTTCCAGCCAGATATTCTATGGTTCCCCACCCACAGGGAGGTAACACCAGGTTAGGTCCACAATGAGGGGCCTTCATTCATAGCAATACAAATTGGTATTTTTATTCAAAAAGAACATGACATATGATTGTATCATTATAGCACCTGAAAAACCCTGTATACAATATCTATGATTGAGTAAACATGTGAATTGAAGATTTAACACGTATGCAGACTTCCGGACACCAAGGATGGGATTATGTAACCACAACGTTCACAACTCCCATCCTGATGTTGGACAATCAATACGTGCCTTGACACATTACACGATGATTGGATAAATGTGGCTGTGCTACCTGTCTGGATATAAAACCTGGAGGATTTTACTGACACTCCCAAGACCTGAAGAAGTGGCTTGGATAAGCTACAAAACATCCTCAACATTACAGAACAAGTCCAGATAATGTAACTAATTACCACCAGCTAAATAAATGATGAATTGGACATAAATGAGGAATACCACAATATAAAGTTATGATGTTACTGGAATTCCCTAGTAACTCATCTGAGAATGTTCACTTTGTCCTTACCTGGTCATCTGTTCTTGAATAAGGTCGAGTCTGTGCTCCACTTCAGTGTAGGTCAGGTCATTGTCGGCTTCTCCCATTCCCCAGGTTACATTGCTCAAGACTGTGTGATGGGTTGTACTCTCGTGTAGTCCATGACTTTCTCTCTCCCAGCTCCTCGGACTTGCTATATCTGTCGGAAAGCAGCAGTAGGCAAATTGGTCACATAATGTAAGTCTTTGTTGACGAGGCCCTCCAGCCAAAATATTTTGTATATATAAGAGCTAAAATCTCCGTCAGATTTTTGTTGCCTTTTTATCTCATTGTGAAGGCTTTCCCCTTACTTCCCAGGAGACAAAAAGAATGGAAATCTCACTGCAACCATTGATAAAACCAACTTTTTTTGATAACTTGAGGAAAGGTTGAACCCTTGCCAGGTTGTAATTGTTGTCTGTGCCCCCACTCGGGAGATTTCTCACACGACAGGACAGATATGCGGAAAAAAATCTTCATTGGGGATTCAAAAAATCATAAAAACATTGTTTTGGTAGTTTCAAAAATGGAGAAGCCAAGCTTGAATAGAGGTGTGTGTGTGGGGGGGGGGGGGGGTGAGACACCTATTGTCTGTCACATACAATGCTGTTTTAACACCTTTCTCTGGGCAGATTAATAACACCTCCTAGTTCCAATTATGCAAATACAATCAACACCTGCTTGATTGTATTTATTACCAGATAATATTAGTACAAGGCATTCTGAACTGAGAAAGCTGGTCGGATGTCCAGTGAAACGTTCTCAAGAAAAATACAGCAAGTCCAGTTGCCTTGACTTATTTTTTACAGATATTGTTTCAGTAGTGGGAAAAAGTGGGAAAAATTTGGAAAATCTTTCTGGTTTTTATTAGAGGCTGTGTTCTTGTTGGGAAGAATCCTTTCACTGTCTGTCCTGGGGACAATGATCTCTATGACAGGAAGCGAGGCAAGTTCTCTCTAGCTGGGGCTCAAACAACAGTTAAAACATGACAGAGATTCAAACATTTCCTCAGTCAATCCAAATAAGAAATCAAAAACGTTTGCTTGAATTTGCACTTTGGTTTAATGTTTTTAGTGGGAAGATATTCAGTGAATGTATAACATTAGACAAGAAAGACAAGATAACATGAATAGAGTATAGGGATCTTTGTAACAATCACAAAAGGAAACTCTACTGTATTTTATATGCGTAAACAGTTTGTGTTGTATTGTAACAATTTTCTCACCTTTGGTCTGTTAAATATATAATTGAAAGCATTTCGTTATGTCTGCTCCATAAGTGCAAAAATACTTGTTAATCCTGCCAGAAATCCAGTGAGTGCTCTGCAGTGTTGTCTCAAACAGTATTATCAGCCCTGACCAGGTATCCCCGGTGAACTACAGAATACCCCCATGTTATGGAGCAGAGGAAATTGGAGGGCAGTCCCAAATCTTTTCCTGTCCTAGGGTGACAATGCTTCTCCTCAATTAATACAGTACACTGAGTAAGCGTTGTCACTTTAGGGCAGGAAATATGAAAATAAAGGGGAAAAAAACCCCCCAAAAAAGGGAATTTAATGCAGCTGCCACATTTAGGACTAGTAAGCTGTAAAATCTTATATTTTTGTTTAAATATAATTTTTTCAATCCCTACTGTGACAGAAAGTCTATTGTTTCAATCAAATTTGGTGTGACTTACAGATATGCACAGAGAAAAAGAAGCAGGAAAGCACAGTCACAGTGCAGCACAACTAAATGGGAAGCAAAGCAATTGCATATATAATGATCACATATGGCTGTCCCCCGTGTAGAAATAGATTGGCAACCACCACAAAGTAACAAGGCATTTCTAAATGGATATCTAAAACACAGTGAAAAGAAAATAGTTTTTAATTACATTGCTTAATGAACCCCTTTCCCGCTCACAATCCCTGTATTAACTTTTCTCAGCACAATGTCCCATGCTGAGGATATGTTAATAAACATCCTCAAGCAGAACAAGCAACTGGATCCCACGCTGGCCACTAGTCCTGTCACAGCGCATATCTGACAGCGACCCTCTCAGATATAGCAAGTTGTGTCAGCATGGCCCCCGGGCAGGTGATCACTGCGATATTGTTATCATATGGCATTATCTACAAAAAGACAATGCAGGCCTGCTGAATTGTCATTGTGCCTTGCAATGAGAGAGGCACTTTGACAGAAGCAGTCGACAGGCTCTGGCTATTAAAGTGATTAATTAAACTTAATTTTAATTTGTAATTAATTTTAATGAATTCATTTTAATTAATTTTTTCATTAATTAAAAAAATGATTAAAAAAAGAAGATTAATATAATAAGCTGTTAAAGTGAAAAATGCATTTTACCACATTTTTATTTGTCAGCGTATAATAATAATAATAATTAAAAAAAACAATAATCCGCAAGGTATTTATTAAAACAATGTACCAAATAAAAGCTGTATATGCCCTTAAAGAACAGCAAATATTTCTTAAGGTAAGCACATTAGGCACAAAGTTTTAGTCAACATAATGGGCACATATGGATGCAGTTAAATTTGGCTTGGGTATCTTGGCATTTATGACCCCGATCAGGAAAGAGCTGTGAAGCAGGACTATTTCCAGTGATAAATCTCCAGGACATGGAACTGCCCCTATAGATCAGGGACAGCTGGTAACTATCGCAATTCCACTGTAGCATAAGGGCCACGGTATACCTAAAGCTGGAGAGAATCTCACTGCTAATACATAAAAATTTAACACACTATAGAACAGCAAGAAATTTAAAATTGCCTGCCAAAAAGGATCACAAAATCCACATAGTCTGCAGTATGCACTTTTTACATGTATCTAATTTTAACAGTAAAGATGACTGTACTACATTTTACATTTAGAACATATAAATTATAAAATGTATTTTGCAGTTCTTCCTAGCAGATCTATACACTAGCACAAGAGCACCACAGGACAGGACAGGGCACCCAATATGAGTATATGCATCAAGCCTATGATTATACAAGTGCAATGGTTACTTACCCCACCTGCGGTCAATTGTTGTGTGTGTGTTTTTTTGGGGGGGGGGGTTGCCTATCCTTCAAAAGGGCACTGATGCTTCTATTGTTTGGCCTATGATCTTGAGTTTAGAGATTAAAGCTTCTGCAATTGTCCAAATTTAAGCATGTGCAGAAGACCCCAAATGAAAAACACCAGGTGGCCTCCTTGAGGACCATCCAAGTAGGGTGGCCATGAAGTCAGAAAGAGAGCGTAATGCAAAGATTAATTGGGATGGCAGGGCCATTGAGATTAAAGACATTTATCTGCAGAAGACACACAGGGCACCAAATCCAATACATGAGGTTTGCTCTCTGACCTTCCAAGCAGTGTGACCATGAAGCCAGAAAGGGAGCTCTCCCATAGAGACCAGTGCAAAATTAATTGGGATGGCCCTACTATTCCCAGCACTGCACATGCAGACAAACTGTCTTTCATCTTAGAAGCTGGGAATAGTAAGACTTTTCTGAACCCCTAGAGTGATCTAAAGTGAATGCACCGAAGCAACCCAAGCCATGGAAAAATCGATTCCTTACATGTCATCTAAAGTTAACAAACCGAATCTAACCAAAAACACTGATTGGAAATGTTGGTGCAGGTCAATGTTAACATTCTGTAAATTGTATTCTGCCTGGCTGCTCTGCCATGCTTAAATCTCCAGATTGTTAGCTGTGGTTATCATTAATTGAAGTAGTATTTACTACTGAGCTTAGTTTGTAACATTTTAACATTATTGCTGATAATAACATAATTAGACATTCCATTCAAGGCCAAACTTGCCATGACTATTGAACAATTAGCACAGGTATCAGCAGGATCTGCACGAAGACACAAGTCTGTTCAGATTCTTTATTTAGTTGATAAAATAGAGCAAGCTCTGTGTTATTCTCAGAGGGAACAATATTTCCAGTCCGCAAATGTTCCCAATATAGTCTAATAATACTCTACTTACATTAGTCCTCCTGTGACCCTAAAGAAAACTATGGCCAAAAACTTCCCAATCAAGGTAGACAGACAGCAATTAAAAAAAAAAAAAAAAGGTTCTAACCCTTTGCAGCTCTACCCAAAATTAAGAAATATGTTTTGGCTTGGGTTCCACTTTTAAAAACGGTCAGAATGTCTTTTACAGCATAAGGCAGAAATGATTACGTTATCCTTGCACCTATCATATGACATGGCCAGCGGCTTAATTAATCGGCCAGAAATCATATGATGAAACACAGGAAAATGATGTTATTCTAGTTGTCACAGATCTATATGTCTAGACTTGATAAGAATAATTATATTTACATTGGTTTTTAGAACACGGTTCCCAGAGCACATAATTATTACGTTGCACACAAGTAATAAACTCATTTTCGAGGCCACTTTGTACTAGACACAAAATAAACCTGGTAACAATTTCAGATCTTCTGTAATAAGATTTTTTTTGAAAGTCAATTGATAAAATGAGTCTTCTGGGGCATGATCGGGTAAGATACAGCCATAAAAATTCTATTTGTATCTATTAGTATCTGCAATTAAGACACAGAGTCCAGGCTTTATTGAATTATTTGATTTAAACAAGGTGTTAATTTTATATGAGCTGTATGCTATGTTTATGGATGGTTTCCTGTGCTTGTTTAAAAAAAAAAAAAAATTCTTCACATTCCAAAAAAGACAGATCTGAATCACGTACGGACATGATCAAAATGCACACTTTTTGCAGACTTTCTAAATTTAGCCCAGACTTAAATCTGCAGTAGGTTGCCTTGGTAAGGGTTGCTATGGCTGCGGGGATACAAAGCTTCAGCCTAAATAAGTTCACAGAAAGAAATATTTCACTTGGAAAAGTCGTTCATGACAAGTTCGAAAAAGGAAGCCTTTAGCTTTGGAGGAAGATAACAATTTATGTCTTGTTCTTTTGCGCTTGCATGAATGATCATTCAATATGGACAATTTTGAAGGAAGGGACCGTAAAGCAACATCCTTGTGTGTGACTGGCCATGAAAATGACCAACGGTTGGCAATTCACCGCTGGCAATTCACAATGGAGGAGGGCATATTTAGCAATCTGCCCATCCAGCTGATTTTCTTAATCACTGAACTAGTGAAGGAGTTTTTGAGACCGTCTATCATTTTTATAAAATGCTACTGTTTTTGGGATGAAAAAATATGCCTGTGTTTGGACCTATACTATTGCCTAATTTGCAATGAGTGGGAAAAGATAAGAAAACCAGCCAGTAGAGCTATTTCCCCTACTTTTTTACCAGACAAGTAGTGAAGGAAAGTCTCCAACAGCAACACAGACAGAAGTAAAACACTTTTTTTCAGTTAGATAGGGGAATGCCAGGACCCCTATCAGATTTGTAATGTTGCCTGTTTCCCTGTTGCAGATATTACTTCAATTCCTCTCTGCTAGAATGTTGTCCAACACAGGTAAAATTGTGGAAGCTTCTAGTTTATCATATCAGCAGAGCCCCTCAGTCAGCTCTGACATGCTGTGAAGGATAAATGGCCCCACAAGAGCACCTCATAAACAGTACATTTTGTTTTTCAAATAAAAAGCTGTTACTTTTCTCAAAATGTATCTAGGATATCGGGTCGGGGAGAGCTTACAATCTAAAAGGGATCTAATTTGACCAATTTTTATCCTGAATTGCAAAAAGAGCAGCTCTGATTCTTGTTATGAAACATTCCCTTTCCTCTAAATAAATTATCTTTCCTTGTAAATAAATTATCTCTAGTGTCTAAAATGACAATTTGGTATACATTCAGTTTATAGCCAACTAGGGAGGGGCACAATGGGAGGGAAAATTTGGCATACATTCTGTTTGTAGCCAACTAGAGAGAGACACAATGGGAGGAACAATTTGGCATACATTTAATTTGTAGCCTACTAGAGCGGAACACAATGGGAGGGACAATTTGGCATACATTTAATTTGTAGCCTACTAGAGCGGAACACAATGGGAGGGACAATTTGGTATACATTGAGTTTGTAGCCTACTAGAGCAGAACACAATGGGAGGGACAATTTGGTATACATTCAGTTTGTAGCCAACTAGGGAGGGACACACTGGGAGGGTCAATTTGGCATACATTCAGTTTGTAGCCAACTAGAGAGGGACACAATGGGAGGGACAATTGTTTATACATTCAGTTTGTAGCCAACTAGGGAGGTACTCAATGGGAAGGATAATTTGGTATACATTCAGTTTGTAGCCCACTAGGGAGGAACACAATTGGTGGGTCAATTTGGTATACTGTATATTTAATTTGTTGCCAACTAGGGAAGGATACAATGGGAGGGACAATTTGATATACATTCAGTTTGTATCCAGATAGGGAGGAACACATTGGGAGGGTGAATTCCGTATACATTCAGTTTCTAACCACCATGAAGGGACACAATGGGAGGGACAATTCAGTATACATTCAGTTTGTAACCAACTAGGAAAGGACACAATGGGAGGGACAATTCAGTATGCATTCAGTTTGTAGCCAACTAGTGAGGGGGACAATGGGAGGGACAATTCAGTACACATTCAGTTTGTAGCCAGCTAAAGAGGGGCACACTGGGAGGAACAATTAATATACACTTATTTTGTAACCAGCAAGGAAGGCATCCAAATGGAAAGAAAAATTAATATACACTAATTCAAACGTTTCCAGGTACTCCTCCCTCTGTTATCATTGGAATATTTGAAGATGGTTTACTCTGGTTTCTTTTGCTGGTTAGCAGGGCTGAGTGCAGGGGAACTTTACATTCTTTACATAGTTAATGGTCCTTCCAATTGTTCACCTCCCTTGTTGGTTACAAATGAATGGAGCTTTAACCATTTTCTCTTCTTGCTGTGCTGGCTGCATCCACACGTAAGGTCTGCAGCTTTCTTCAGCAGGTTTCGCATCTGTATATGACTTAGGGAAGGGGTAACCTCTAAGTGAGTTTGTTCTCAATGTATTCCTTGTTATATAACTCAGCATATGTACTTCCAAAGATTAGAGGAGGGGCTGCAAATTTATGCAAACTGAGATCACAATTTTAATTAAAATGTAACTATAAAAACAGGGTTTCCATTAGATTTCATTTGCTTGCTAACAGGGCTGATTTCTATATTTCTCTGAATGTTTAGTAGTTATTTTATCTATAATGATAAGATTATTACACATACTTTAACTACCGTGAAATTATACATTGTATTGACTGAACAAAAACATTCCTTTATTGTTTTATACCCTCAGGGGTATACAGCAATGACTCTATATATATGCTGAACTATGTGTGGCAATTCAATTATTCAAAAATATTGTATTTATTTGTTAGGCCAGATTAAGGGGGTCCAGATCCACAGATTTCTCTGAAACCTTATACATACGTATATATGCTTTTCAGTGCCTTAAAAACTATTGTCTAATAGATAGATGTGCTCATTTACCATTATCCTCCATTATATACCGTTGTCTCTATACTGTTACTTCTACCTAATTAGATTGCAGCCTATACTGCCCTGTGTCCTGTCCCATCTAGAACTAAGAGCTAGGCAGCATTTGCATATCACCCCCCACTATAGAGTATTATTACTCTTAATCATGTACAAAGATAGATATCTGTTACCTCGATAGGATAAGCTTCTTTTGGTGATTGTTAACTTGTCAGGACACACAGGTTCTTCAAACTGGGGACCAGTAGGTTCGGTGAAAACAGAGCTGTAACCACCAATTTCAGTAAACAGCGGCTTCTGTTCATTAATGGAAGATACCAGCGAAGACAATCCACTTGTTTTTTTGTCTGTGTTATTCCTGTTGTAGGAACAATGTCTGAGATCATCCAAAGAATTCTCTGAACCATCTTGGCTGTTGTCATTGCTGCAATCTACAAACACAAGAAATATAAACAGGTGGTTTAAACTGTCCTATATTATTGTGGTAGACATGCTAACACTGCAAAGGTAAGGGACAAACAGGTACTGTGCTTTTTATAATGAGTTATGTTTTTATAGGTTTGCTGAAGTTATTGTATTTTACCATAACAGGGCTCACCAATCAGCAGGGATCAAGATTGGGGATTTCAGAGCTCTAGCTCTGACTCAGTAGCGGGAGCATCAGACATCTGTAATGAGACCACTGCTTCCATACAAAGAGCAGGGGTCCTTGTCTGCGGCAACTGGTAGGAATCTTTCCTACACAGTCTGTGGCTTCTTTATAAAGAAACTGAACTCTAAGACATTAAACACGTTTTGTTTTAATGTACTTGGAATGTATTCAGCCAATTTAAACTGAAGGTTTAGTTGAGCTTTAATGTTCAATTGGCACAAAACATTGATAATGTTACCAGAATCAGGGCATCAACTGGTCTCCTCCACTTTACACTGCCACACCCCTTGCCAGCCAGGCACATATCTGCAGTTAAATTCAAATGGCCATCCTGCTGAGAATATTGTTTTTTCTTATTTTCACATTCCCAGCAGAAAACTCAGCACAGCTTACCAAACATAGTATACAACTTAATCATCTCTACCGTTATTCAATACCAACAATGGCCACAAGAACACCAGCTCAGAACCAGTAAAAAGCAAACCTTATGTATTTTACATGTGTTTTTCTTCAGATGGAGTTTATCCATCAATCGCAGAAGGTCAGTATAATATCATTGAGCCACAGTAAACTCTCCACTACTCAGAAAAACCTCAGACCAAGGAAAACATGTCTATCCTATAAATGGTCAGACAGGGCTTCTATCAGAGTAGTGTATGTGCAGCCTAGAAACAGGTAATATTGAAGGCATGATTATTCTGCCTGCAGTCAAGACAGGCCTACAGTTACAACGTATTCAGCTGCAAGGTATCAGTTGCCTCAGAATGAATTGGAGTGGTGGTCTGCAGTGAGGGAAAAGCAATAACTAAGAAGAATCAGGCTGAGGAATATCTGTTATGTCCATCACTTTTGTCAGCATTAGCAGCTTAGTAGTGCCCATTCCATCCAATAATAATACCATACTGTATGAGGATAATATGCCAAGTCCAATAAATAAGAAACGGAAGTCTTCAGGTCAGTGACACTCACCATCTACTTTATCTTCTCTACAAATTACTGTGTTTTTTCCACCATTTTTACTCTCACAAGAAACCTTGCGACCAGCAATCCAGTCTACAATATATCTCACTGCTCACATTGATTGCAAGCTCTTCGTTGTAAAACTAATATGTCACCACAGCCACACAAACCTGACACAATGGGGGTGATTTACTAACCTAAACAAATGCACGCAAATGTATTTATCAACCAAAAAGTCTCTAAAAGCATATTTCCACTAATGCCATATATGGAAAAATCATGCACATGATGCATATATAATTCTGCTTCACAGTTTAGACAAAAATGGTTAGCTCATGCATTTACATTCCTGCATTCATCAACGCAAGCAACACAACATAGAGCTAATTTACACAACATCACCTTGTAATTCATGCAGGGCTTTGCACAACACACCTGCTTGGTGTGTACACACTACAAAGGTGTCTAGATTCCACCAATAGATCATGCTGGGAGGAAACACACTACAGAGGTGTATACATGTTCGTGGTGTGTTTATAAGGTTAGTAAATCAACCCAATCAATGTCTTGGAAACGAAATGGCGATTAATTATATTTTCTTCTTATCTTCTGGGAAAGTTAAATGTCTGTGCATAGGCTTAGCAGTATAACTAAGTTCCCTATGCCTGCCCAGAGATGATCCACTATAACAACACTTCCATGGGAGGAGTTTCAGTGAATCAGACCAGGGCAACCTGCCCACACTGCTGGCATCCCCCCCCCACGCATGATCTGTGATGCTGGCCAAGGAATGTAAACAGCATCAGTTGGAAAAAGGTGATCTGCTTTAGCTGTGTGTTTACCTAACACTATGTCCTAACCGCAAATGCACCTCCAAGTACTGCAAGGAGTTGCTTTGGGAACCAGGGGCAGAATAAAGGTGGAGGCTCAAGATCTTAGGAGTGGGGATTGGTGATGCATAAGTGGTGATTGACATCTATCTTCGACAGCTGGACTCCCCCGGAGTGAATAAAGACAGGGCACCCATAGTATGGTAATATCCCTGTGCAGTGTCCCAAGAGAAAAAATATTTTGATCAGCAAACCCTTATCTTCAAATTACTAATTTCCAGTCATTACTATTTGGTTATTGATGTGTTTTCATGAGCTAGACACAGGCTTGCTGCAGATATGTCCAATATTTAGACATTAAAGGAACATGTAAAATCAGCAAGCAAGCAAATCTGTCCAAATCCATCCAAACTGCGCCCCATTTACTTCACTAAATCAGAGTTTTACATAATTAACTGTATCCAAGATCTGCAAGCAGTTCCCAGTGTTTACAATACAATACAATCTCTTGTAACACATGTCTGTACTGAGAAACGTATCCTTCTAAGACATCCAAAGGGAACTCCTTTGAAGTAGGGAAATGATGGCCTGTACTTTGGATGCCTTGCATCCAGGTCCATTCAGAAAACAAAAATTCTGGCAATGAGTGATGAATGGATTTTCTACCATTGATCGCTAGCAGTGAGTTAACTAGTAATGACTGCTACTGGTCCAGTCTTCTGTATTCCAAAATGGAGCACGAGTCCCACTCCCATGTGTCCATTCCCATTTGACTTGAATGGAACACAAGCATGTGTTTTATTAATGATGTGCCATGCCTTCATGATATAGATATGTTTATTTAATCAGAAAGAATGGGTGGGAAACCCAAGCTCCGAAGGAAGCATGGGTGAACAGAAATAACGTGTGCCCAGTCTGTAACTAGACAGCTAACTAGTAAGGAGTCAAAAGCCTCCTTTACCAATTAACAAGCAGTTGAATCACCTAGAGGAGCAAATTGTTGATCTGTAACATGCATCCAATTGACTGGGATTGGCCAGATTCTCAGTAAACTAGGGTTTGAATGAATGATTTGCTCATTACTAAACAACCATAGGGATTTAGCGAGCAAAGCAATCAACTACAACATATAATTTCAAAAATGACAACTAGAGCCACTTTTTACAAAGGCTGGGTTCTCAGACTGAGCTTGAATGCAGAATGTTCACATGCAGCTGCAGCATGCCTTTTCATTTTTAAAAGGCACATCAGTGTTAAAATGATGTCAGATAAAATCTGAAGTTACAAAAGATATACAGGCATAGCAATATCAGCTGCTGCCAAGTTTCCTTGCTTACTCAGCCTATATTTTGAATAAAATGTATTCATTTTAATCTATTTTAAACAGTATGATTAAAGCCAGTGTCTTTTCCAGATATGAGTAACAGAAGTGTTGTTTTTCACTTATATTTATGATATTGTTAAGTATAAAAACGAATGCTCTTTCCCAAACAGTGGTGGGTTCATTCCGCATTTGAATGCCATATGCTGTAACATTTCCAACAAACTGGCAGCATATAAATAGTCATTAAACAGAAAAGCAAAGGAGAATAGAAAGTTTCTGTTTATACATCTAACCAGAAGGCCCATTTGACACCTATGTGTATGATTTAGGATTCTGGACAATATAAGGATACCTTCGAGTGAAGAAAGAGAACACTTTGGAAACACAAACAGTTGTATTCAGATAATATAACAGAAGATAGCTATAATGCATAGTCTGGAAACCAGGGGCGTCCTGAGGCAGGGTGTCACCTGGAGCAGGTATCAGGTGACACCCAAAATGACGCCATTGCGCATGATGTCATCATGCATGCACAACATCTTTGTGCACATGCGTGATGACATCATATGCTGGTACCTGCCAGGGGCTATCTTGGAGATGGACGCCGGCAGAGAGAGGAGAAGACATTCACCCGGTGGAATGAGGTATGCCGCCGGGCCCCCTCCTCTCTCTCTCTCGAGCAACTGTCGGGCTCTCTGTCCTTGACCGAGCGCACGGCTTTTCAGAGTGGGGGACACCTTTCCAATGGTGTCACCCGGGAACCAAAGATAACATTTCCATCCATGATGTCTTTCATCCTTCCATCATTCCAACTCAAGAATATAAAGCAATGCTTCTGAGAACTAATCAAATTCTTGTAATAGCTCTTAAACTGTTTTTCAAACAATGGTTTTTCACATTTTGTCGTCATGATAAATATCACAAACATTGCATAAACCAGAAAGATATTGTTTACATTTTAGATCTTTAAAGCTGAACTTCAGACAAACTAAATTCACACAGTAAATACATATAAAGAATCTGCTTATCTGCCAAAGGATTTGTGTTTATATCCATACAGTGCCTAGGTCTATACAGCTCCGACACATAGCACAGCCCTGTCTGGCAGGGCAGGAGAACTGATTTTTTTCTCTTCTGCAGTTAATTAACTCATAGAGCACTTTCATTCGGATCTGATTGGATGCCCAGTGTTAGTCTATGGGCAGCTGGATCTAAACGGATGTGTGCCTGTTTACATTTGGTTACTCCAGGCTCCGGCCAGGGCTGGAAAAAACAAATGGATCAGAGTTCCATTTTGCCAGACCTGATTGTGCTGGATTCGGTGTAATCCGATGTAAATGGACACATGCCCATCTACATCTCATTCCCCATAGACCAGGAGTGGAAAACTCTGGCCCTTCAGCTGGTGTGGAACTACATGTCCCATGAGGCACTGCAAGACTGACAGTTACAGGCATGACTCTCAGAGGCAGAGGTATGTTGGGATTTATAGTTAAAACACAGCTGGAGGGCCAGAGTTGCCCATCCCTGCCACAGACTAACATGGGTCCGGTAATTTCAGTTTCTTCCTTCATCGTAAGATGGAGGAAAAAACTGGACAGACACAAATGTCACAATAGTGAACGCTGTTCCGATCAGCAGCAGATCCATGCATGGATCCCCTCCTGATTGAACCATATGACAGGGGCCTTACTCCCCCTACCCCACTCACTGGACAGTGAAAGAGAATAACCAGACTGATGAGCCTCTGTCTTTCTGCTTGTGCTGCTCCCACTTCCAGCCTAAGCTCTGCTGTAGAGGGGACTGCAAGAGGCTGATCCCGAGTTAAATCCAGGTAGCTACACTGTTTGCAGTACAGGGGACTGCAAGAGCCCGATACTGAATCAAATCCAGGTAGCTACAGTGCTTGATCTAAAAAAAAATACTCATAATAATGTATTAAAGAATACAGAAATGCATTGCTTTGTGTACTTTATATCTGAATGGCGTTCAGCTGTGATATGCATCCAGTAAACTGATATGTTGCATGGACTATGCGGTCACAAACAAAGTTTCAAATTCCAGCACATGTACCTAAAAAATTGGAAGCATGAGGGCACCAATAATACACATTTACTCTGAGAGGAGTGTATTATTTTTGTTTACTTTAATGGGTTATGTAGGGTGCGTAATTTCTAATCCTCATATCTCATAATAAAAAAACAGACCACCATCAGGAGTTATTGATGGCTCAAGACCATGTGATCATGGCTGCCTAGGCCCTAGGCTGAGAGCTGGGGTGTAGAAGTTATTCCTTTTATGGCAAGAATGATGTGTAGACAAGAGTGCCACACCTGCTGGGTAGGTAGAAGACTACAGACTGTAACAGATATATACTCTGTATATATATATATACAGGTGTATATATAATATATATATATACGGTATATATATATAGATCTATATATATATACTGTATATATTTTTTAGCCCTGATCATGATAAAGAGAATATATATTCCCTTTAAAGTAGTTAGACATCTGACTTGAAATGAATGTTTCCACATGGACTGCACCAGGCAGGTGTGCGTACTGTACACTACAATTATGTTCTGTTGCTAATTACTTGCAGGTGCCTCATTCATGTTCTATCTTAATAGATGTCTCTGCCTTTTTTTCTAGCAGACTGAACAGCCTGTAGGATATGCCATCTGAAATCCATCTACACTGTATCATTACATTTGTCAGGGAAAGGTCAGCCACCCAACCAAGCAGGTTGATAATTAAGCACTTTTCTTAGCAGGAAAAGATTATGGAATGTGACACAACACGTGCTGCAGTTCTCTATTTTAAACTTCAGTGGACAGTTTTCACATGCCTGGAATGTGGTGGAATGCAAGGGAAATTAAAATAGATAATGAATGGCAACTAAAAACCACTGGACTGTACATGGACTGCCTATGCAGACTCAGATTCTAGATTACAGCTTACATTAAAGTGGAGTACAAATTGTAGACTTCATTTTAATGGTAAGATGGAAGGAGTCCGTGGCCACCTGCTTACTTTCATGAGTTTTAAGAGATCTGACTCCATATTTGGCCTAAATAAAAAAATTATGTTTTCCAGGTCGAATTTACCTTCTGGAGCTTGTACATCCCTACAAGTTGCAACCTCCCCACTGCTAAAAGTATTGGAAAGCATGTAATTACCGCCCTTCTTTCCTACAATGCAATGATGGGTGTCTAAGTACAGTGCACCAGACTTTAGCACTGTTATGTCGGCCTCACAGTGATTCCTAACGGTCTCAGGAGGTCAAATAGGGAAGGGGGGGGGGGGGGGGATTAGTGGAAGTAATAATTGTAGGGTGCCTACTAGCTAGCAAGCCCTGTACTTTGCCCTGAGTAGGCAACGTGAAGGTTTGCTTTACATGATAACTAAATGGAACAGTTGCATAGATGTTATCAGGCTGAAATTAACATTGACAGTTTCATCTGTTGGTCATGTTAAATAGAACAATTCTACCACTAGTCTTTATGACTAGTCTTTGTCATATTTCAACAAGAACGATGTATCATAGACAGATGCCATCAGTGTGTCTATTTTCATTTTTTTTCATCCAAGATTTACACATCTTCACCTAAGATTCAGTTAGAAAAATCTGTGAATCCTGGGGAAACGTTGGTCAACAACATTGATAAATAGACCCCCATGTTCTTTATTTCCTAATTTACTCTCCGCAATTTTAGCAAGCCTTTTTGCCAACCCAGTCTTGCATTGTCAATTTTCAATGGAGAGAAAATGACGATGGAGGCATTTCTATTTTATCCACTTTTTTCAGATTTTGATTACTTTCTACCACTTTTTCTTACACATCTATTCAACACTGGTACTTTCCAGGTCAGCCTTATATTTGATGCGGGAATAATGTGAAACAATGTGGCAAAATAAGGTAAAATTGTGATAAAAAGACAAGAAATATTATGCTAAGAGATGAATAAAAATAGAGACTATAATCATCATTGAAATAAGCACAATACCAACATGTTAATATGTCAAAAAAGGAAGGCAGAATACTCCATATGTAAACCAGTAAATAGACTTTAACACAATTAATACAGTTAACCCAATTACCTTCATCTGATTTGTCTTTAAAAGATAATTTCCTTCTTCTTATGTCGCAGTTCTCTTCATTAAAGTCAGAATTTGCATGTGTTCTTAGAAGTGCGGCCTGGTTTTACAAAACACACATGTGAGCCATGGAAGTTTTATTTTTTTTTATCTCATATATACATGTTATGGTATCAGCAAAGTCAATAAATACTTTAAGAATTACTTCATTTGAGTCATATAAATATGTCCTGCTATAATTCATATTTGGTATCCAACAGCAAAGGTGCAGAAATTATCCTTCTGAACCATACCAGTCAGTCAAATTTGAAGCAAAGGAAAAGCACAAACCTAACTGTCATAAGAAACCAATAATTCTTCTTAGAGCTGTTTTTCCATAATAAACCCAAATGTAAATCTTAAAGGATAACTTAAAGGGTAAAGCGCTGTTACAAGTTATGTATAGTCAATAATACACCACTGCATTTTGATTTGTGATCTATGTGCAATGAGTCAGAACTCCTAGAAGACTGCACAGTTTAAATACTGCTGGGCCTTGGGCAAGATACACCAGTGATAAGACTTGGTTGCCTAATTCTAAGGGGTACAATTATATTTATAATAATAAAAGGAAGGCAAGAGGGCTGGGGAAGGGCTTGTTTCCAAAGCTTATGTTACATTTTAACCAGTTGACATCCGCGGTGTTAAACCCCCTTCCCATCCAGGCCATTTTTCAGTATTCAGCGCTGCGGTACTTTAACTGACATTTATATTTTAAATTTTTAACTAGAAAGTGGAAAAGCTAATCTTATGCTTCCTTACTGCTAATCATAACAAGTTCCCCTGTTTATACCCCACCAGCAACTGTTTAAAATTACCTGTTAGGCTACCAATGGGCTTAAAGCTCCTCAAGTTTTCTAGAGAAGAGCAGCTTGGCTTTCAAATTTGATTCATTTTAATATATTCCTTAGCCTGGGTCAATGGAAAACCACTAGGTGAAGAATAGTAAAAGCCCAAACTGTTCCACTGGAGAATGCAGTAATAAAATTAAGGCTCTGAGGGAGGCTCTGTAGCATTATGTGTTAGATCTGGGAGCTCCACTGAGGAGACTTTAACACTGGAGCCCCCAAAAGATATGAAACAAATGGATGAGTCAGCATTAGAACAGAGATATCAGTTTTTCATAACATGATCTCAATACATTAGGATTGTAATAGAAGATTCTGTGAGTTAATCAACGTTTACACCAAGTTCTTGGAGTGGGCCTGAAGAACTTATAAACTGATTACTTTTTTTTCAGAGCCTATATAATTGACGAGCTGGAAAGGATTGCACCTATTCAGATTTGGTATCAAAGTCGTTGAAATTCAGTGTGCCAAGGTTCCAGACACTGTATTGTTACCATACCGAGACCAATCTAAAAGCTACAGGGCTCAGGTGTAGATACTTAACAATGGCCCTCTTACACATCATTGGCCTTGGCACTTAGGATGCTATTTTCTATTTCAAAAAGCTTTCTAGAGATTCAAGCAACAGAAACCTGACTGATATAAAGATACCAAGGTAAAAAAAACCACTGTTTATACTGTAAAGAAAGCAATGTAGCACACAACTACAAAACCTAGCATGCAGCTGATAAGAGGGGAAAAGCAAACATTACTGGTCTCCTGACTTCATGGGCCCTGTGGCAGTAACAGTATTTGACCCCTCTGTAATAATTTGCTAGCATGGAACTTGAGTTTTTGCAGATTCTATTTTATTATAAGGTACAACTTTTCTTAGCTTTACCTAATGTGTACCAGACTGGTCATTCTGCCAACTATTTTGTAGCAGATAGATAAAGGAAGTTTTTGCAGTTATAAACCATCAGAATGTAAATGAGTTCTCTGCAGTCATCCATTCACCACTGACCAGCAGAAGAATAAGCAGCCCAGACCATAAATGGATGCTTTGACGCTGCAAGCACTGAGCACCAAAAGTAATATTTACTATGATGTCATAATATGTCAAACTATTTAAAATTAAATGTGTTAAATATGACTCTGCAAACCTTTGTGTTTTCATCTCTTAAATTAAAAGTCAGCTCTAGATTTGTGAGAAACTGGTCTGAAAATTCCGGGTACATGTCCAAAACTTCCAGTAGTTCCTCTCGCTGAATTTTGTGAAGATCACAGTAGGTGAGAGCTCGAACATCAGCATTGGACTTCCCAGGTTTAGCATATAGGTGAACCATCTCTCCAAAAATATCATTTTTACCTGAAATAAGAAAGATAAATATGTAACAATGTACACTAGTACAAACAAAGAACACATTCAATTTCTCAGGTGGTGCCATCTATTGTCCACTTAATACCTTCCAATGCCATAGTCAGAGGGGAAACAGAACAGCAAAGCAGTATGTATAATACAGTGAACTCCCCTTTATCTGGCATTCAAGCAACTAGCACTCTCAAGCACCTGCCAAAAAAATTCTAGGACATGATATGTCCTGGATTTGTTTTTCTTTGCCAATGGCTTTATGCACACTAAAACATTGTCGGTTGCTTTGTGCACACTAGAAAATGTTGTTAGCAAATAAATGTATTTAGTTGCTAACAAAATTCTTTGTTTACGTCTCGCTGCCAGCCGGCGGCTAGCTGAATGTAAACAATTGGAAGCAATAGCCAGCCTGCTATTGTCAATTGCAATAGCCAATAGCAGGCTGGCTATTGTGCCTGCCCACTGGGTAGAGGAGCAGACCTGAGAACTTTGTTTCTAAGCTTAGCTCTGCTCAGTGGGCGGGGTTTCAATAGCTATTAACTCTCAAGCAACCAGAATCCGGCACCTACCGATTCCCATGGGTGCCTGATAACTGTTTACTGTACTGTTTTCTCGGTGTCATCCAGGGTAGATAGAGCCACAGATAGGTTAGGAATTAGTACTGGGCTATGAGCTTAATGCAAGGTATAAGGTAAGATTAAGGGACATTCCTGGAAGGGAATAGCCAATTGATATAAACCATCAGTACTAGTTAGAAGCTGAAAAAGGTGCTGAGATCCCAATCTTAGTCTCCTCTAAGATGGTACTGTCAAGGCCATCTTTATAACTGGCAGCATACTTGAATTCATGATGACTGCATTCAATTTAGGTGTATACAGGGCCGGATTTACTCCCCCTGCCACCCCAAGGCCAGGATAAAGTACCTGTCGTCCTTGGCCCATTCAAAGATGAAACTACACAGTCTTAAACCTTTTAAATAACAGCCCTCCATTAAAAAAATAGAGACAGGCAGGCTCTAAAGTACTGAGTGGCACTACCTGCAGCTTCTGTATCTGCTTCTATTAGGATAGATGCCCAACTAAACTTTCAGTTTTATTCTGCTAAATATATTCATGGTGCATTAAAACAAAAGGTGTGCAACATCTGATAGTTAGTTTTGTTTAGAAATCAGGCACAGCCTAAGTAGAAAAGCCTGTCCCCCTTCAACCTGCTGTAAAGCAGTACCTTTGCTTTCTGTGGAAGTACTGGCCATTCTGTAGAGGACAGATATGCCTCCTGCTGAGTCACACCTCTAGCTCTCTGCTGATTGGAGAGCTCTGGCTCTGACCCAGTAAGGCGTGCTTCCGGGGCCGGATTTCCCACAAGGCCAACCGAGGCCCGGCCTAGGGGCAGCAGGGGTGTGGAATTCCTATCTCCCGCTGCCCGGGACTTCCTGTGCTGGGCGGGTAGTTGTTTTCTATATTTAGCCCTGCTGTGGGAAAGGCAGGGCAAAATGTACAGCGGAGAAGCTGCTGCTTGTTTTGTACAAGTGATCTCGGCGATGTTGCCAAGAACACTTGTATGCAGCATGCATACAGGGGGGCGCATTGAGGAACCTGGCATTGAGGCAGCAGAGAGAGTAAATCCAGCCCTGTGTGCATCAGATCTCTGTAGAGAGACCACTGCTTCCACACATAGAGAACAGAGATAGGCTTCTCTGCTCAGGATATGGCTGTCTTCTAAAGAAATTGATCTGTAAGACTTTACACAACTTTTATTTTGATAAACTTGAAATATATTTAACAGATATTAAGTGTAAGTTAATTTGGGCTTTAGCACACATAGTAATATTGTCCAGGAGGCATCTTGTCCTGCATTATTCCCCTTATAATGTCGGCAGCTCTACCAATTGGCCTAATAAATATATATGACCAAAAACTCACCTAATATCGCAACAACTATATCATCTTTAAGGATTTCAATAGAACCTCTTGACAAAAAATACAACGCAGTGAGCACATCTCCTGAGTGCACGAGTGTATCTCCTGGGGGTGCATGGGTAGTTTTAAACCTCATAGCCAAAGCTCGAAGACATCCTTTACTTGCTCCACTGAATGCTTTGCAGTTCTGCAGTAACGTTTGATTGAGGTGCAGGCAAATATCAGCTTGCAGGCATTCTGGAAATCCCTTTAGTACCTAGACATAAATGAAAGTAGTAATAGATTCACAATTTTATTTGAATGTATTCCCAAGATAAATTCACTTTTTCCAGAAGGCAAACGCTTAAAAGATTCGTTTAAAAAAAACAAACATCTACAGTGATGAAACGGTCTGAAATTCTCCATTGTGGTTCCAACCATTTTTAGAAATAAGAAAAAGGAAAATGTTTAAGTTACTCTTCTATCCTTAGAACTAGGGATGAACTGATATATTGGCCGCCCAAACACATCGGCCGAAAAATGCACTTTTGGTATAATGCCGAAAGAGCCATGTTTCGGCCGATACATCGGCACATCCCTGGTTTCTTTCCTCCCCGCTGGGCGCTGCTCTGTGTCCCAGCGGGGAGAAAAGAAAGTGACAGCCAGCTGAGCGCTGCAGGACGAGAGCGCTGTGAGCGGCCGGCGTCTCTCCTCCCACACCGCTCAGCCGCCTATCACAGTCCGGCAGAGCGGTGTGTGGGCGGAGACAGCCAGCGCTGTCACAGGAGACTGAGCACACCTCCCTGCTCCGCTCGATCAGCCTCCTGTGACAGCGTGTCAGAGAGGAGAGCGAGCACAAACACTCAGGGATCAGTGATCGCTGAGTGTTTGTAGATAATTGAGGACATGGTATGTTAACTATATCCTCAATTATGAATGAATGGGAGTGATCTACGTCACCTCATGTTCATTCATAGTTGTAGGTATAGTAAACATACCATGTCCTCATGTTATCAATGAACAGGAACACTCATTCCTGTTCATTGATAACAGGGGATACAGAAAAAGAGATAGAGGACTTTTTCTGTCTAACTAAGTTTATGAAAAATAAATAAAAATAAAATATTAAAAAGATTTTAAAAAATTAAAATAAAAAACTTTTTCAGTATCGGTTTCGGCCTGACAATTTTTTTTATTTCGGTTTCATTTCGGTTTTAAAATTTCCATTTCGGTGCACCTCTTAGAACACAAGAGCATAAGTTATTCTTTGCAAGCAGAATTTCTGTATTAACAGTAGTGTTGGTTGAATTGGTCTTAATTGAAAACTTGAACAATTTAAAGGGAACCTATTAGTCTTCTTAACAAACTGTTCTGGCAATTTCAGGCAATAGTGGAGGATGCCACTACGCCCCAGAGCTCCCCAAACACTCCTACTGGCCCATGACTATGATGTTCCTCCTTACTGGTCAATAAGATTCTGTGGAAGGCAGGAAGGGATAGGTAAGCTATGTGGAAGTGCTCAAGCTTTGCCTGATCAGAAGACCCAACATTCAGGCAAACCAAGCATACTAAATGTTGCTGCAGTTATGTGCTTGCATATCTGGGTGCCCGCACTTTATAGCTGACAGCAGCTTTCAGTATTCTTAAAATGATCATGTGAATGTGATCAGTTTAATGTAAAGAAATCTATTAATCTGAGGTAATATGAAAAACAAAAAGTGTCAGCCTTTTACGTTAAAGATTTTTTGTTCATTAGGGATGAGCCCAGCTTCCATACCTGAGCTCCTGAGCACCACCAAACAAGGATGTGCCAGGCATTCGCCAGCCCAAGGTTGCATATAAGAAAAGGGGCAAGATGCTTGTGCTGATATAATTGAGCTAATATGGCCTTTTACTAAATATAGGCATGAAGCCATATAAGGTCAGTGATGTCCCTGCATCCCACCCCCTTGCTTATGTCAAGCTTGGGGTGGGGTATTCCCCACCAGCAGCTGGTTGGGTCACTTGGCAGGAGCTTTCTATTGTGTTAAAAAGGAGCTCCTTTTGGGTTTGGAGGAGCTTGGTATGAACTCCTCTCTACTATTCATAAAGGAAACCTAAGAGAATACAGAACCTGTCATTCCTGACCTCCTTCTGAAAATGTTAGTTGTCTGGTTTTCTCTGACCTCAACACTTTCTGCAAAGCTACCCTGGAACAAGCATGCAAATTAGAAAGTCTGAGTGACGTCAGAACTCTTGACCTGGATACTCGTTCCAGCGAAGTGGTTCAGAATATACTGGGGCCACCAATTCAGTTTTCAGAAGGAAAATCAATGGCCGCCTTCAAACATCCCCAGTACAATGTTTCTTTAAATGCTACAGTAATTCTTAGAGCAGTACGTTTAAGCAGCCAATCAGAAATTATACGTCTGAAGTCACAGCAGTTCATGGCGGCCATGTGACCTTGTAATGTCTGAAATATAAGCAATATAAGCATAGTGCAATAGAGTAATCTCCTATTTAACCAGAACAATATGAGTACTTTACTATACTACAACACGACAATAATACATTGGTCACATAAAAATAATAATTCTTTCCGGGTCTCTGCACAGTTCTTCTATGTGAGTAATCCTGCTGACTGCTGAGCCTCTTAAATTGATTCAACACCTGTGCTGAATGACTTTTTGTCAAGTTTTGTGAAATCTGGCACTACAGGGAACTAGATGAATTCCCCACTGGAAAGCAAAAGTACATATCTCTGCTGAGAATGAGATGTTGTCTTCAACTATCTCCCTTGGAATACCAAGCTTTGCAAATACAGTGGTACCTCGGTTCACAAACTTAATTCGTTCCACGATTCTGGTCGCGAACTGAATTGGTTGCGAACCGAATAAAATGTTGCCATAGGGTTCAATGTAAATAAGGTTAGTCCGTTCTGAACCATATGTAAATTCATTACCGCTCAGTACTTTCTTTTTACCACCATGCTTGCTCTGCACTTTCTTTTTACCACCATGCTTGCTCTGCACTTTCTTTGGGGCCATGCTGGATTGAATAATACTGTACAGTACTGTGCTAAAAAGCACACAAAAAAGCTTCACAGCCATTGTGCACAGGTCTGTCTGCGAAATCGATCTCCACTAGAGGAAGGCACGACCACGTGTCAGAGCGGGGAAGATGGCCTCGGTCCTGTTCATCACCCGATTTGCCGTTCGCGAACAGAAGCAAAATTTTGCTGAACTTCCTATTCGGGAACCAAATTGTTCGTGAACAGAAGCGTTCGTGAACTGAGGTATTACTGTACATACTTGAGCTTGTATCTGATTGTTTGGGGACTTCTGAATATTTTGAAAAAAAAGTTCACAATCAGAAAGAACGGACCTGCTCTAAAACCAAAGCTAACGAACACCAGTCAGTTAAAGTGTATCGAAACCCAGAAGCAAGCATGTAATATATTGTTCCTTACTGATCCTTAGATGTGGTGTCTGCATTAGTTTTCTTTTTTAGGTGTTTTTCCTTTATTTTAACCTGGTGATCCGGCCAGTAAGTCAGTTATTTTTCAACTTCCTTTAATAGGCCAAGCTGTCCAGCAAAAGTGGCAGATAGAGAGTTGAGACAAACCAGTTAACACTGGCAGGAATGCTTACAATGCTCAGCTTTTATTCATTTATGTAAAACCTTTATCCCAAAAGAAAGAAAAAAAACTGTTGCTGAAAATGTCTAAAAATCAGAATTAATTTGTTTGTCAAGTCCACCTAAATCTGCTTGTGCATCTAACACCACCCTCCCCACAGGGTGACAATGCTGCTGGCCAAGGGATTTTTTTAGGATTTTAATGATACAACTTTATGGAATTAATATTCTACCTCCTGCCATGAATAGGTCTGACATGGTGGCCATATTTTCTAAACAGCAAGAGACACTTTTTAACAAGCAGACCTTCTTTGTCTTGCAGCTCTCTAAAGCATATTGAAACCCAAAACCCAAAAGGTTATATATAGAAGCTTATCAGTCCTTAGTGGCTGCATTCGTTTTCTTTTAATGTCAGCTCACAAGATTTTAATCAAGATCAACAGGTACTTTTTGCACCTATCAAACAGATATACCGACATGCTTTTCCTGGTATATTTTACAGACCAAAAGGGAGCAAATAAGAGAACTTGATTGTTAAGCGTTTACATACACTTTATTAAACGCAATGGATAGATAATGAATATATGTGGGGGGTTTTCAGAGTCACGGAGGCCCCCTTTATAAAGGTGACAGACAAATTAACAGTCTGTCTGACACCTTGATAAAGGAGATTGCCATTATTATTTTTATTTTTTTACATGGGACATCAGGAATTGTTATTGACATGATCCTGGCATGCTGGCTTACATTATGTATTATTATTATCAAGTTCTTGATGGGGAGGTTCACCCTATTTCTCCTGCTGACCATTGGTTGGTGACTGGGACTGAATGTGAAAGAATGCAAAATTTTAAGTTGTCACTAGAACATGAATAGATGGAAAGTCTTCAAGTGGGGACACCTATTCTAGTGACAACTCTTTAAGTGGATTCCCCTAATTCTGGAGGATTTCCTTTCACCTTCTGCTGTGTTTTCCGAGTCAGAAAGTTAAGGGAAATCTCCCCAATGAGACACAGACAGCAAAAGAAAAACCTGGCAGGAAGTTTGGGCTTTAGATACTCTCATTTGGGCAAACGTGTACCAAAAACAAGGAAACATTTACGTAATCTGTAAAGATTGCTAAAATAAAGCGAGTCCTACAATCCCAGTGCAAAGCAGGTTCATCTGACATTTGTGACTGTAGTGTCTGGAGGGAAATTTTGAGCAATACTGAGACACACTAAACCTAATGCTGTGGCGAATATGGGATTCAATAATGACTTAAACATTTGAACTTTTAGGTCCCATTTATATTGTTGTGTTGCAGCAACACACAGTTTACTGCGCATTACTGCAACACGTGTGCACTGGTGCATTGCAATGTCACTCTTTTTGAATGAACACCAATGCACCTGCATTACAGTGACCCAAAATGCATGATATAGCAGTATAGCGTGTTACATCAGAAACAATATTGCCTATTTCACCTATTTACCCCTGCCCCATATATGATGACTGGTGTGTTTATATTTTGTTCCTTATGTACCATGTTGTTTCTATAGGTATCCATACTAACTCGATAATTCTCTGACCAATTGTGTACCTTACTAATGCTCAAATTACCATTTTGTTGTCATTACTTATTTGCTTACTTGAAGGACAACCTAGGAGACTGGTCTTATG